CCGAAACAAAACATCGCACCAGTAAATTGGGTAGTTTCCAGGGTATCAAAATTAAAAATCTAATTAGTCCGTCAGTTAGATAATGAAAAAATATTAGACACGTATTTTTTTATCTTCTCGTATTAAGTTGCAATAACTTAGATAAAATGGCGCTAAGTTTAGGAGTCATTACGTCATAACGTGCAACAAAATGTGGCACGCTGTGACATCACACGATATTTCAAATTAATATATCGTCAAAAGTATTTAAATTTGTGAGAAAAGAAAAAATACGTATCTAATGTTTTAAATTAATTTACCAGACGGACATTAAAATAAAATTTAGGAAACTACCCTATTAACCAGTGTTTAATTAACTTTAGTATTTTCAATCAAAATCCGGTGCTTTTAGCCAAACGCCACTTTAGCGCTTGTCTACAGAGAGAGTAGAAATCAAAATGAATAGAGATGACACTTACAAGTGTCAAAATTTACGTCAATTCCATATAATTTGGTTTTCTATTCTACATATAGACAAGCGCTAGGTGGCATTTGGCTACAGCCGCTGATTAGTCTAGTAGTTCAATGTCAAATCGAACACGGATCTCCGTAACACAAAGTTATCCATGCAAACACATTTTCGAATCACAAATTGATATAACCCACTTCAACCCAGTAACATATCATCACTCAATTTAATACATGAGTCATACAAAGTCATACAATCTTAGAGATTAAATGAAATATACAATATGTATTGAAGATTTCAGTCCGCAAATAAATATTTACTCAACTCTGAAATGAGCCAATTCCTAACAATAGGATCTGTATGAGATTCCATACAACAATTGTATGGTTGGGACTTATTGTATGAGCGAAGCGATTAGCGGATGAATGATAATTTATAATTATTTTAATATGCTTGGCTCTTAAATATGTCTCCAGTCCATAAGTTTAAAACGCCTGGTTCTCATACATGAAGGCGCGGGTTCGAAACCTACCAACGGCAAGTATCAATATGATTTTTTCTGAGTTATATGTACTTTATAAGATTTATACACCCCTGACAATAGATGAAGGAAATATCGTGAAGAAACCTGGGCTTATAAAATCTAATTATAAATTTAAAATCGCCAACCCGCATTGAGCAGGAGCGGTGATTAAATGGTTGAACCTTCTCCGTGCATGTTGAAAATGATGGTGATGGTGACTCTCAGCTAGCTCTCCCCGCAGGTGTCGTCAGAGTCATGTCAAGCGTGGATTTCTCCCTGCCCCCACTGGTGGAAGAAATTGTCACTAAATCATTTTTTCCTTCTATCAGCTTATTTTAAAATCCTATAGGTCTCAATGATGCTCGAGTAAATTTAGCATCGTGAACTCCCCTACGATTATGCCTGTAGATTGTATAATAGTAAATGAATCAGTCAATATTGGTTTGAATGATGTTCATAACTTCATACTTTTTGAAAACCTGAAACTGAAATCAAAACATCAATCTGCTACATTATCAAAATTGTATTTTTTTCTCATGAAAATCATGAAAATTCCTTTCTTTCATGTTTACAAATTACAATGCTGATTGCCTCTCTGTTTACATGTGTGGGTGTTATATTTATAAACACAAAGCTTACAAACACAAACAGATCGACCCGGAAACTATCTCTATGCCAAATATTAGTATGTTTTTGCGCGAAAATCAAATTGATGATGTGAAACATTGCAGAGATTGAAAAATTAAAAAAATTGATTGAAAAATTTAAATAAGTAAGGCATTTCAGCCATGAGTAGTTTTGCAAAGAATAATAGTTTAATAGTTTTGAAAAGAAAGATAATATCTGCCTTAATTGAAAATCAAAGCAAGATCACACCAACTGTCACGTTAACATATATACAAAAATATATACATATAACATCACGCCTTTTATCCGCAAAGGGGTACGCAAAGGTGCACATTACAGCCCTTAAAGCCACTGTACATTACATTAACACCGAATTTTCAATATTTATGTTATCAGTCCCATGTAATAGGGGGTGAACCTATTGCCATATACCGGACACAATTCCAGACTCCGTGTTAATACTGAGAATTTTTTTAAAAACCTAGTAATATTTTATCCGATTCGGGAATCGAACCCGATACCCCTTGCCCAGCAGTCGCACTTGCGACCATTTGGCAAACGAGGCAGTTAGGCAGATAGTTAAATATTCTATAGTAAAAAATTAATGTATGATGTAAATGACACCTACCACATAGGACTCATAACAAAATTGGCAAAAAACATACATAACATAACATCACGCCTTTTTATCCCGGAAGAGGTAGGCAGAGGTGCACATTACGGTACTTAATGCCACTGTACAATGTAACACCCACTTTTCACTATTAGTGTTATCAGTCCCATGTAATAAGGGGTGAACCTATTGCCATATATCGGGCACAATTCCAGACTCCGTGCTACTACTGAGAATTTATGAAAAACCCAGTAATATTTTGCCCGACCCGGGAATCGAACCCGAGACCCCTTGCCCTGCAAGCGCACTTGCGACCACTTGGCCAACTTTTTGCCAACTGGCAAAAAGTATCATACAAAATATATTATGTCCATCTCTGACTACTCGTTTGCACTAAAAAGCGTGACGTCATACATATATGTATCATATACACACTTCTAAAAGTAAATAAGACACAAAAATCGTATCTAATTCAATAGCAAGCAAACTTAGTTTTATACGAAATATTAATATCCTGCGTAGCACTCCCAGAGGTCTCGTAGCGCGTAGTCACTTGCTACGCCGCTACGCGCTACGCCGTAGTATCACGTAACTTGATGTGTAATTTATTGTCAAGGTTGTATTCTAAGCTTCTGTTAATCTTTTTAACATTTTGTTTATGGAGGGTTTAGGTATAGAATAAGATATTTAGGGTCAGTATTGGTTCTCAGTTAGGTGGGGTTTTAAATGTGATCAAATTGAATCTGATACTTTCATATCTTCGAGAGTATGTTACATTTAAAAAAAATCTAAATAGTAGTAATAATAATTATACATAACATCACGCCTTTTATCCCCGAAGGAGTAGGCAAGTTGCAAGTTACGGCACTTAATACCACTGAACAATGTAATATCCACTTTTCATTATTTATGTTATGAGTCCGATGTAATAAGGTAGTAACAATAACTCTTGGTAACAATATTATTTTTAGTGTTAGGAAGTAGATCAAAACAGAGTCCAAAAAATTCAAAAGACAGTTGTATGTAAATCGAAAGTGAAAGAATTTAATAAATCGTACATTAAGTAAACAAAATTATTACTTGCCTAGCTATTTCCGCGCGGTTTCACACGCTCTGCTCAGCTCCTATTGGTCGCAGCGTGATATTTTATAGCCTATAGCCATCCTCGATAAATGCGCTATCCAACACAAACTTAATTATTCATATCAGACTTGTAGTTACGGAGATTAGCGCATTCAAACAAACAAACAAAAAACAAACTCTTCCGCTTTATATAATAGTATAAGATAAAATTATTAGGTCTGTTGATGACACTTTTAATATCAGTTGAGCTTACACTTATAAAACCACACATTGCTAAAACCGGAGTTCGATTCTGGGATCTTTAACTCAACTTCACTAGCAACAACAAATAACAAGGCATTGTAATTCAATATCTATTCATATTAAGATATTCCACATTTTTGCGGAGAATTGGAGCAATAGTGAGCAGCTGTGCCCTCACCGTGCCCTCCCTGCCCTCAGGAACACGGAGGAACATATTACTTAATATTAAGGAAGGGAGGACTTACATTCTTTAAAGGTTTTTGTACCTGATATACTTATATAAAACAGAATTATGTACTATTGTATGTTTGTTTGATAAGGATATCTGTAAAGCCAGATAAATTGTTACTGGTGCTAGCTGGCGTTGGTCATCATCACCTCGATACTCAATCGATCACTCTCCCTAGTTGTATCTTCCTTAATTGGTATATAATAGGTTGTCTCCTAGATTCATTTGACATTTTTCGCAAAGCCAGAAGACAAGCAAAGTCAGTAGCAGCGCGACAGTCGCCGCATCACGGATCGTGAAATACTGCTCATAAATGTAAGCCCTAGAAGCCGTATCTTGAAACTAGTCGAGTTCCTCGTCAAATGATTACGTGAATAAGTCGAAAAACATAATAATTAGTAAAACTTCGTTATTTTATAATTTCATAGAAAAATTTAAATGCTTTGTTACAATTATCATAACAGTTTGTCATGGAAAAATAAAATATTTGTCGTATACAAAAACAATAACAAAGATAACTACGCAGTACTGCAAAACAATAATATTCACAATCGGAGAAATAATCTCCAAATATCTATATTCAGCATTTATATATTAAGAAAAAGGGTCCCTTCATGTATAAAAGTATATTGCGTCCCTTCATAATCTCCCAAAACGTCAAACAAGCAAAACTAGATAATATAAAACATGTTGTTGGACCTTGTAGCCTCGCCGCACTTCCTGATTGTCCTACTGACCTGACAGAGAACGTCCATAAAATAATATTCCCTCAACTAACAACTATCATAATCTAACCAAGAACTATCGAAAAAGAATCAATTTTGATGTTTTATAACCAACCAAAGAGTGAATTGAGATCCTGGTTACATAATCTTAAACGTAATACAATTATAAATAAGAATAACAATAAAAAGACGCGAATGCAAGTGCGTTGCCATTTCAAAAATAATTCAACGCGTCTCTGAATCCAGGTCAGGTTATTGCCACGAAGTTGCCCGCCCTGCGCAGCGCATCACCCTGAAGTTGGGCACAGTGCGCGCGCCGCCCATCGCCACAACCGCCCAAGTCTCCACCTGCCATCAAAACCTTTGCATCTTTAAAAAATAATAATTAAAAAAAATACAATCAAGGCGTGTACTGGATTCGAAAATTAAAATTCGAATTCATAAAACAAATATGGCGGTCATTCGGTGTGTGGTGCGTCGTGGAGCGGACGTGTGTTAGGTACAATATGTTACGGTTAGTGTACGGGACCTAGGTCGTCCTGGAACTGTGCTGTGTGTTAGATAAAGTGTTGTGTGTGATCAACTGTGCTTGCTGTGCTGTCGACCCGAGTAAGTATCATTTTAACATTCTCAGACATAACTTATCTCCCGAGAACCACTACTACCCGTCTCATCTCCTAATAACTACGCCGAAGTTAATTTGCGATTCCTTACAACGTTAACTTATCCCCAAAACCTAAACAAAAACGCGCTTCAATTTACAAGCAATCAAATAAAACGCATCCATTTTACGAAATTACATTAATTTATTAACGTTACATTTCGTAATTATATGTCTGTTTCCAACTAATGTCGTAAATGACAACAAATGACATCATATTTGTCCCATAACTACTCACATTTAGATATTAAAATGAAGAATACAAGGACTATAGAAAACGTATTATTATGATGATACTTATCAACTATTTTATCGCTATTGTACCTGATAAAGGCTATGAAGCTAGTAATATGTAGTATTGTACAGGAATTAATTATGATATTTGAAGTATGGAGAATTAATCAGGATATTATGATAGGAGATAAGTGGATGGATAAGCTGTTATGTGTCATAACAACAGTCTTATATTATGTATCCATTATCCACAGGAATTAATTGATTTCTAGTTGATAATATTGCGAACTGTATGTTTCAAAATTCTAACTTTGTCCTCGTTTAAAAGCCAATATGAAGAGAATAAGTAAAGTTTATCATTTACTCATTTATTCCACGGAAAATGAAACGAATTCATAGCTACATAGAAAACAAAATTAGATTTTTTATAATGTATGTAAATGCGAAATTATGTTTATTGTCGCTACGGACCGTTTTTATAATATCACTTTTGTATCTGGAGACAGTGAGGAGTGATATAGGCTGGTTCTTAATTCTATTATACTTGCAAAGTTGCGAGCGTAATGATAAGAACAACAACTGGCTAAATTTTACTTGAATTAAATCAACCGAATGTAATTTCATCTAATTTTTTTGTTACAAAGATGAAATTTAAAGACATTGAAACATAACATCACACCTTCTATCCCTGAGGGTAGGCATAGGTACACATTACGGCACTCAATGCCACTATACAATGTAGCACCCAGCTTTCACTATTTATGTTATGAGTCCTATGTAATTGGGGGTGAGCCTATTGCTATATACCGGGCAGATTTCCAGACTCCGTGCTACTACTGAGGTTTTTTAAAAAACCCAGTATTACTTTGCCCGACCCAGGAATCGAACCCGAGACCCCTTGTCTGGCAGTCGCACTTGCGACCACTCGGCCAACGAGGCAATGTTGAGATTAAGAATAAAAATAAAGTTTATTTCAGAAAATATTACAACTTTTTGTGTTCTGGACATCACACTAGAATTCTCTAAGTCGTGACGCCCAGGCTCCCAACAATCAGCACAAAAAACATAATGTATCATCTTATACTAATATATATAAAGCGGAAGAGTTTGTTTTTTTGTTTGTTTGTTTGAACGCGCTAATCTCCGTAACTACAAGTCTGGTTTGAATAATTCTTTTTGTGTTGGATAGCGCATTTGTCGAGGATGGCCATAGGCAATAAAACATCACGCTGCGACTAATAGGAGCTGAGCAGAGCGTGTGAAACCGCGCGGAAGTAGCTAGTTATAAATATGTATTATGTATGTGTATGATTGTAACAAGTAGACTATATTACTCTCTGAAAACTGAATTGTCCAATGGCGAAATTAGTTTTCGATTCACTCCAGTAGTTTTGAAGCAAACAAATAACCAAGATTTTCCTCTTAAAAATATGAATATTAAAATCTTTTTTTCTTGGAGTAAGCAAAAGCTTCGAATTACATTAGGTATACTATTATGATAATATTAAAAATTTCTTCTTTCCGACAGCCTCGTTGGCCGAATGGTCGCAAGTGCGACTGTCGGGCAAGAGGTCTCGGGTTCGATTCCCGAGTCGGCCAAAGTATTACTGGGTTTTTAAAAATCTCTGTACTAGCATGGAGTCTGGAAATGTGCCCGGTATATGGCAATAGGCTCACCCCCTATTACATGGGACTCATAACATAAATAGTGAAAAGTGGGTGTTACATTGTACAGCGGCATTATATGTCGTAATGTGCACCTCTGCCTAAAGCCTTCAGGGGTAAAAGGCGTGATGATATGTTAAAAAGGAGAACGGCAGATTTTGTACCGCTTCGCTAAAAAAAGATTTGTCATTAAAAAATTGGGTCATTATAGAACCTCCTAAGTACGTTATGTTAGCATATTTAATAGATTTTTAAAACTTGGGAAGCCCTAGAAAAACTGATATTCAATAATGATAAAAAGCAATCCACTATACGTAAAACGAACCGCGATTGACGTTTACAAAGTTGCCATGCGTAAAGATGAAATCAGAGCATATTGAATTTCGCTATTTCATAAACTCATTTATTTTAATATCTATCAATGAAATATTTTCCTTTCCATTTCAAACATTTTTATAAGTAAATATAAAATCTACATCCAATCTAAATCTACGTTTACATGGATTATTAATGATAATTAACATTTTAACAAACTTGAATATTATGGCAATGTTGAACTGGCATTTGTCTTGATGACATTGACAATTAATTTGTCAATACTGGCGCATTGCTGTTTGTTTCAAATGCGATGTTATGAGGTGTTTGTTGAATTTGAAGTTATTTTATTCATCTGGTGATACGTTGAGTTTGGCAACCGTTCCTCCGTAGCCCAAATTGGTATTATTGGCATCATTGTTGTGACAATTGCGAAAAGACACTTATTTACATTATTTTGTGCAGTGTGTTGTTATTTGTCGCGATGATGAATTTACAGTGTATTAATTGCATTCAGAGTTTGTCGCACATGAGACGGCATGCTCTAGAAAATGAGAGTGAAGATTAGACGTGGTCAACAATATCCCAATGTGGACTTATCCTAGAGATGTAAGTACCTAGTTTACCCATAACATATCGAAAGTCACCATGTTCCTGAATAAAAGAAGGCGCATAGTGTTATCTACCCATAATGTATCATTTTATTCTTTTTATTCTAGATCTCTCCTACCGACCATATTTGCAATGCTTGCTGGCAATTAGCAATGTATCGGGATGTTGCTGAAAGTATGTCCAGCAAACAAATTGGTCACTGGCATGTTTGTGTCGTATATGGGTGATTCATTGCAATGATAAGGTGACGCAGGGTTTTAATTGAAGGCGCCAACAAACAGGAGTAAAGACTGGCTCATATAGTATTTGATTGGATTCAGCCACAAGAGGTAATAAAGCATAATTTAACCATACTATTATCTATATACAGTGTAATCTAAAGTCAATATCATATTCTAATAATATTACTTATTTTAGCTTACTTCCCATGATGAAGATCATGTTCCATACTGACTGAGAGACCGTACAAGAGTCGAAACTATAAAACCACAACCTGACATACCACCTCACAGTGTTCACTATCAGGAAGTAATGTATTATGTAAACATGGACTAAGCCTCACTTTAACATTGCCATTTGTAGAACAGATGAGGCCGGATTATGTTGTTCGGCTCTCAAAGCTTCAACAGGTATGCATTCTCAATATAATGTACCTACATAATTATGTATCTATGTGGAGTATATAAGGGGTTTCTAATAGGTTTATACTCATGTTATAATTATAATTTATTAATTAGCATGCTGTTTGAGCTCCTATGATCTGTGTTATACGAATAACTATAATAAATGTTATAAAATGAAGTAATGTAATCAAATATTTATTTTTATCTTTTCCATTTTAAGATAGGGAATCAGACTTATTATTATAACATATAAAACTAAAGGAAAAAAATGTACTTTTGTTTACTTTATTTACAGTTATCTTACTTGTTTACAGATATCAGCAATTGATGTCTGCTGTACCTATGACACGGCCTGTTCTCTTTTTAGATGAAGTACTCCTAGAAACAACCTGAATACAATGAAATAAAAGTATTTCAAAATAATACATTTGTTTTATTTTAACCTAGTAAGTAACTATATATTCCATCTTGATAAAAGTGATTTTAAGAATCAATCTATAAAATAAATGCCATATTTAATTTAGATAGCTTTAGTTTTATACCAAAAATGTTCATTTTCATTTTACATTTTCTTTAGTTGTAATGTGGTGGCCCAGAGGTTTAAGAAGCCCGCTTCTCATGCATGAGAGTGCGGGTTCGAAACCTACCAACGGCAAAGTACCTTTTGTCCAATGTGTCTTTTTTCCGAGTTATTGGTATATTCAATAATCTAAGAAAGTACAAAGACACCGCTGACGAATGGTGAAGGAAAACATTGTGAGGAAACATGGGCTTATAATTTCTTATTATAAGTTTGAATTACCAACCCACATTGAGCTAGTATGGTGATTAATGCTCAAACCTCCATGCGAGAAGAGGCTTCGGTCAGCAGTGGCCACTTATAGACTTAATGATGAAAATGTTGATGATTCTACTAATTTGACTTACTTATTAGAAATTAATCCTTACATGCGTGCTAAGCAACCAGTTTTCAGAAGAAATACTTTCTCAAAGAGCTAAGCTAAGTTTAAATCGAATTAACTTGAGACCCTTGAGACTATCTACCTGCAAGATTCAAGGTGAAGTGAGACATTAGTTTTATCATATCCGCCACAAGACTTCCACTGCTAAATGTAGGCCTTCTACCCAATGACAGTCGCTTACATTATGAATTTGCATTTTCGTAGGCACCTAAGAAATGAAAAAGATTGTGAGGCATACTCTTTAAAACTCTATAGGTGCATCATGCTTGCTGAATTAACAGGATCATTCCTAATTGCCTTTTGCGCTGCGACGCACCATAGGTTATTTTTTGGGTTTCTAAATTCTTGTTGTGTGTCGTAGCAAAATAAATGATTTTTCTTTCTTTCTTTCTTTCTAATAATACAAAGTGTAATAGTCACTTGAGTAGCGAGCAGTATTTTTAGATTTTTGTTTTTTGTAAATAAACAACCACATGAGAGCACATTGACATTTTTCAGTTAACTGTCATCTGTCATTTGTAATAGATATTTTGCTTA